TCCCCTCTATTCTCTCCCCCTCCTCCCTCTATTCTCTCCCCCTCCTCCCTCTCTTCTTATCCCCCCTCCCTTCTTTTTATTCCCCCCCTCCCCTCTATTCCCCCCCCCTCTTCTTACCCCCCCTCCTCCCTCTCTTCTTACCCCCTCCCCTGTAGCGTGGCCGAGCGGCACTCCGGTCCGCGGTGGCCGGCCGGCCGGAGTGATAGGAAGGTGCACACTGAGTGTGCACCTTCCTGTCAGTCCGACCGGGTACAGGAAACAGAAACTCTCAGTGTGCACCTTCCTATCACTCCGGCCGGCCGGCCACCGCGGACCGGAGTGCCGCTCGGCCACGCTACAGGGGAGAAGCTGCAGCCGCCTGAGGCTCTTAACAGAGCGCTCGGGCGGCTGCAGTATTTAAAGGGCCGGCCCGTCGCGGCCGGCCTTACAGGAATTTAGGGCGGCCGGGGGGGCAATTGCCTCCCTGCCCCCCGGCCCAGCCCGCCCCTGACCAGCAGGACATACTCATGGACTCACAATAGTGACCTCATACATAAAGAATCCCCTTAAAGGAACAGTCAACACACAATTATAATAGAAATGAATCAAATATAAAGTACTTTTAATCGGTTTCCTTTACTGCCAGGTTTCAATATAGTATTTCTTGGTGCCTTTCGCTTCTTTCTCTAGACTTATCCCAGCACTCTGATTACCTTCAGCAGCAAACTCAAACTCTGCGTTTATAAACCCACTTTTATTCTGCCTTCCTTTATAGACTGTTCATTTACGTGCCTTACAAGCTATACAGGATGTCCCCAGGTCTTTGACACTTAACTTCAAATGCCCTTTTATTATTATTGTTGTTTATAAAGTGCCAACAAATTCCATAGTGCTGTACAAGATGTGTACTAACAGACATGTATTTGTAACAAGACAAGCTTGATGCCAAGGAACAGTGGGTGTTGAGGGTCTTGCTCAAATGAGCTTACACTCTAGAGTAGTGGTTCCCAAACCAGTCTCTAAGTACAATCTACCAGTCAGGGTTTAGGGATTACCCAGTTTTGTGTAAGGCATTTTCAGAAAGAAAAAAAAAACACTTAAAACACAACAGGGTAATCCCTAAATCCTGGACTGGTAGGGGCTACTTGAGGAATGGGTTGGGAGCCACTGGTCTAGAGGGAGGTGAGTAAAGTGAGGTAAGGGTAGGATGTATTTCATGTACGTGGAAAAAAGTAGGTTACTGTAATAGTTTAAAGTGAAGGGTTAGTTGATTGGATGACACAGTTGCAGGAGAGGAAGCAGGGAGTGTAACCAAGGTGCGTAACCTCTTGATTCAACTCACCATTATTACCTTTAGATTGTAAGTCATATTGCTGCTAATTTATGTAAAAATACTGTAATTGAAAGATTGTTTCTCATGAGTCCTTTTTTATTTTTTTAGTATGTATATTACTTTAATTGTACAGTCTTGCAGAACATGTTGGCACAAAATATTTAAACTAAATAATAATAGCATATATAAAACAATAACCTCACTATTGTGAGGTTAGTAGCCAAAGTTTGACAGGTTTGTATGCTGTTAGCAATAGAGATACCTGCTGGACTTAAATGCCACAGAACAAATAGTTCTGTAAAAATAAAAATCCAGCTCGCTTATCTACTAAACAGCTACTTTGGTGCTGACAGATTTTGCTAGTTTTATTAAAAACACCTAATCTAGGCAAAAGATAATGGGGGTTTAGTTACACTATATGATCATACATTGCATAAGCCTGCCACAACGTCAGTATACCCCAATATAACTACAGTTCTGGGTGACTAATCTTAATTCTGTGCAAAACTGACATATGATATCAGCATGTTGGTGACAGACAGCCAATAGTGGCACAGCCCCCTCCTTCACTTGCCCCTGTCCTCCCCTCAGTCCATCCTTACTAACCTCCCTCCCCCTTAGATCGGGGGAGTGACATGAGCGGAGGATGCTCGGGCTGAGGTAGAACATGGCCTAGGTGTTGGAAAGTAAGGTAAGTTTTAGCTGTTTAATTTTTTTATTTTAGGGTTTCTTTTATTAAAAACTGTGTTTTTAATAAATGTTTTTTGGTGGGAGTTACCTTTAGAGAGCGCATTACAGAAATTATAAAGATGTATGATTCTTCAAATAAACACAAACAACAATATAGGTAGAGCTTGCCATTATTTGCAGGCCTTTCTAGAACAAAATATATTACTTTAACCATGTATTTTATATGTCCTAATTGTTAGAACCTGCACATTGCTGTTATCATAGTCCAGACTAATACATTGCATTATGTATTTGTCCTCCGGGAGGCATAACCACCTAGCAAAGCTAGTGGGTATGCGGCAGCCTCCCGGAGTCAAATGCCAGAGCTGAAAAGGCTTGCGCTGTGCATCTGAACAGCAACAGCCTTTCAGCCAGTCAGGTAATCAGGAGAGCCGTGCTGAGCGCGGGAATCCTGATTGCCTCAGATTTTTAAAATTGGGATAGCTATAGTCTGTAAAAAACAAAACAGAGAACAGATTTTTAAAATGACATCATTGATGGAGGACTCGATTTATGTGTCTGCCACAGATTTAGTTGATGCCTCTCTTAAAGGCAGCCCCATCAATGTTAGAAAGCTCCATAAGAGAGCTTTCCTTGCCAGGGATCTATCCTCTTCATCTTCTGAGGAGGAGTTGGTCCCAGTTTTAAGTAAAAAGAATAAAGGAAGGCGGCTGGTCTCTTCCGCCAGTTCCTCATCTGAGGAAAACTTCTCTGCTCCTCCTTCTCCTCCTACTCGTTTGAGTAAGCGTAAAATTAAGGGGACAGGACCCCAAAAAAGGAATAGCGTGTTTCCTTTATTTGAGCACCAGAAACACCTTCCAGAGAAAAAGGACAAATCTTAGATAGTCCCTCTCCTTCCTCTTCTAGAGCGTTTGCTCACTCTTCCTCCCAAAGCCGTTCCAGTTCCAGATACGGCTCTCCAGAAATAGACTGGGAATCTGAGGAAGTGGTACGTTCAGCATCTTCCACTGAGCGAGGGAAGCTAAGCAATGTTCAGATGGCCAGAGTAAGTCTCCTAGGAAAGACTCTTCCTTCAAAATTACTTCACTCCAGATGGGCTATGGAGCACGATTCTGAGGTTAGAGATTTCGCTAAACTAGCCTTCAGATCCCCCTTGGTTAAGGAGGATGACCTTCTCCTCAGGAACCATATTGGTATCCCAGACATTCAGGCTTTAATGGCCCCAGAGGTAGATCCTGCTCTGTTATCTATCACAGGGAGCAGCGTATCCTCTGATCCCACAGACCAGACTTTTCGCAATATACAGTTCAAAATTGCTGATGCTGTGGGCCCACTATTACTGATGCTGGATAAGGCAGAAAAAGAAGGCAATGCTCAGAAACCTTCCGCTTCATCTCTGTTGGTATCTAAGATGGCTCTTTTAAAAGCGTCTGGCATGGCAGTGCTAATTATTGGCCAATCCTTAAATTACATATCAAACATCCGCAGATCCCGCTGGCTCCATGCAGCAGGTCTGTCCAACCTAGCCCCCAAACCGCATGAGTTCCCAAATTTGGAGGATTCTTACCTATTCAGTCCCTCGTTTATTCAGGAGGTTAAAGGCCGTTACAAGGCACGGAGATCCTTTTCAGAACTCAAGAAGTCCGTCCCTGGCTATAAAAAGCCCTTTTGGACAGAGGGTTGCCCCTATAGGGCTGCAGGAGCGTCCCGAGAAGCCTCTCACCAGGCCCAGTACTGCCACTACAGTGAAAGATTCAAACTCCCGGGCGGTGACAGAGGAGCGCATTCCAGAGGCGGTTCAGCTTCCAAAAGAAAAACCATGCATTCAAGTAAGTGTGCCTCCTCATATGCCACTAAATTAGAAGGATATTTCCTCAAATGGGTTCTAAAGATTTTTTCAAAAGGGTTTACAACTCCCCCTTTTAAGGTTCCCAGTCCAGAAATTTGCACCCCACAGAGAGGTGAACCCAGTGCTAGATGCCTCCCTTTCCTTAGCTTTAAGTCAAGGGGAGATAGAGTTGAAAGACATGTCTATTACAGGATGGGTCAGCCCATTGTTCCCAATCCCAAAATCAGAAGGTTCCTGGAGACCGTTCCTAAACGTGAGGTCTCTGAACGCTTTCATCAAAAGGAAAAGGTTCAGGATGGAGGGTTTATCAGATCTTCCAGGCTTAGTACAGAAAGCTTTTTTCTGCATAAAGTTAGACCTAAAAGATGACTTCCATTCAGTCCCCATAGCCAAGAAACACAGGCGTTTTTTCAGGTTTCAGTGGAAAGGAAAAGTGTGGCAGTGGACCGTTATGGTGTTTGGCCTATCCAACGCACCATACACATTCTCCAGAATTATGAAATCAGTGATAGCTCATGTCAGACTAAAAGGTTTCATGAGTCTGTACTATCTAGACGACATCCTGCTCATGCACCCAGATGGGGAAGTCCTTGCTTCTCAAAGGGATTACCTTGCTTCCTTTTTAAAAGACCTAGGATTTGTAGTAAATTTACAGAAATCAGTCCTAATTCCCACTCAAAGCATCCTCTTTCTGGGTTTCATACTGAACACCAGGACTATGTCTCTAGGAATCCCTCAAGACAAATGGGACAAATTACCTGTACATCTGAAATCATCTCTCAGGCACCAGAGTTGGTCCTTGAGAGACGAAGCAAAGATTATCGGGAAATTAATAGCTTTAACACCGGCATACAACAATTCCCCCTTACTTTGCAGAAGAAGTCAGCTGTTTTTAGGGAATCGACTAAGACAGGGCGGCCATTGGGAATCAAAATTTGTTCTCCCCAAGAAGGTCAGAGAAGAATTGAAGTCCATTCTGGAGTTAGTAATTCCACTTCCTCGTCCCCTGTTAGAGCAGCCTGTGGCAGTCACTATGACGTCAGATGCCTCAAGTCACGGTTGGTGTGCGTTTACAGAGGAATTTGGTCAGACCAAGAGATTCACCTCCATATAAACATCTTGGAGTTATGAGCTATAAAATTAGCTCTCCAGGGCCTAGAGAATATCTCTGGAATAATTGGTAGGAAGTCCCTCTGTCCACCAGATGAATTTATATAACTTGAATTAAAATATAACTTTTATTATTCATAGAATTAAAACATGTAGAAATAAAAAAAAATGAAAAAATAAATAAAGATAAAAAATCGATAGACAGACAGGCATGCCAATATATCCACTAGTGGTACCATGAGATTATATAGATTGTCTATAAATTTATAAGACAATATAATATCATCTAATGGATATAGAAAATCTCCACTCAGGGGAACAAAATAAGTATAGGAGAAGCAAGCTTGTGATATTGAGTCACTCACAAGGCAACTATTGTATACAAAGTACCCTAATGATCTACTATTGTATACATAAAATGTTGCAAAAGGTATCTCTTGCTCAAGATTTGAGCATGGGCTATCTAAATCCAAAGGAAGCCCAGAATTGTGTAAAAGAGACTTTAGAATAACGTTGTGAGAAGGAGAGAGGGGTTCCCCTACGTCGGTAATATGAAGGCAGGACCACCCCTCCCCTCTTTAATAAACTCCTAAATCCCAGTACCACCCCCCACAAAAATCCCAGCCAAAAATTAAATCAAATTAAATAATATTGAAATAAATCGAATCCGATCAAATGGCCAGAATAGAGAGGGCGATCAGAAGATTCTAACTGCCTGTCTACGATGCCTAAGCTACCTAACACGTGTTTCGGCGCTGCTAAAGCGCCTTCATCTGAGGCAAGGCACCCGGACGCAGCTCTCCGGTTTCAATTTAAAGCTGCTCAAAACCAATCACTAAACGGGGGCGTGGCACAAATATTCGCGCCAAAAAAACGTTCGAGTTGGCCACGCCCCCTTAGAACGTAGTGCCCTGTAATTGGTAGAAAGCCCCAAAAGTCCAAACTAAATTAACCCTTGATGTCACTTATAATTTGACTGAATAGGTGTTGCATAGTCTATAGGAAACAATAAAGTGTTTGGTCTTCTCTTATTACCTTGTCTATAAAAAAAAAACAGTAAATCTAAAGAACATAATATATGTCTCTTAGTTAATACTAATGGTAGATGGAACTATATGTAGAGATAAAAGTAAAAAGAATACAATATGTAAATAGCTCCACATAAAGGGGGTAATCCAAGTTTATGCATATATATTCTCCAGATAAACTGTTTAAATATATAATAAAGAGGAAAAAATGACAATATAAGAACTATAGAAAAACTATACTTAATTAACCTAGGGAAAGGGGGTTCCTAGAGCTTTCATAGGACCTACTTCTATGTCAGAGGGGTCTATCTTTTGTCCCCGTACCCCCATTCAATAAATTTGAATGGGTAAAAGACATCCATCTATTTGGAAGACGCCTGGCTCTCCATAAATTTTTCTATAATCATAATGAGAAGAGAGATAAGGATTTAGGCTTCAGTATGAGGGAATACCAATGTTTGAAAGATCTAGTGTCCCTATTGGAAGACAATGATGACACCAGAGACGTATCATATACCGATTTATGCCCTAAAAGCAAGTTTACCCCCAATATAAAAGACTTCAAGAACATAGACATGTTCGTTGAATCTTCTTGCAAAATGATCGAGAAGATTTCAATTGATTCATTACAACTTTGTCCACAAAACAATCTCTCCCATGATGAACGGAGGGCTCTCCGTGAACTACAGAATAATCAGGATCTTGTCATGAAACCTGCAGACAAGGGAGGTAATGTTGTGGTTATGAATAGATCTCAGTACATTGAACTAGCCTTAAACATTCTCAGTGCCAACCAGACGTATAGAATACTATCTACCGATCCTACTAAAAAGTTCCTTTGTGAACTCAAAAATCTCTTAGATTCAGCATTCGACAATGTAATATTGAGTAAAGATGAGTATGCATACATCTACATCAAAAATCCTACCGTGTCAACATTTTACTGTTTACCGAAGGTACACAAACAGCAAAATCAATTGACAGCTAGACCCATAGTGTCCGGGTCAAATAATCTCATGTGTAGAGCAAGTATCTACATTGATAGAATTCTTCGACCTTATGTAGAAAAACTACCGTCTTATCTCAAAGATACAAAGGACACTTTAAAACATCTGTTAGCCACTAAGATACCGGAGGAAGCTACTATATGTAGCCTCGATGTAGAGGCGTTATATTCATCAATTCCCCACACTCTAGGTGTATCCCATAATCGATATTTTTTGGATACACAAGGACTTAAATATCATAGCCATACTTGTTTTGTAATTGAGTTACTCAAATTTGTACTCACTCATAACTTCTTTCTCTTCAATGGTCAATACTACCACCAGGTGCAGGGTACAGCGATGGGCACGTCTTGTGCTCCATCATATGCTAACCTGCACCTAGGTTGGTGGGAAGAGAACGTGGTATACTCAGAGATGAATGCTGAATTCACAAAGTATATCTTCTTATGGAAGAGATACATAGATGATATCCTGATTGTATGGACCGGTACTGTTAATTCCTACACAACATTTGTTGAAAGACTCAATTCTAATGATCTAAATTTAAAATTTACGATGGAGATTGGACATGAATCTCTTAATTTTTTAGACTGTACCCTGAGAATTTCTGATGAAAACTGTATTGAAAGTACTTTATTCAGAAAACCCACCTCAACTAATACGATGTTGAGGTGGGAGAGCCACCATCCCAAAACCTTGAAGAGGGGAATTCCGGTTGGCCAGTATCTCCGTCTGAGGAGGAATTGCTCAACCATTGATGATTTCATCCTCCAGGCTAAATCTCTGAGAACGAGATTCAAAGAAAGGGGATATCCCAACCGATGCCTAAAGTATATGGTAAACAAAGGAAAGAAAGGAAACCGCGCCCTTATTGTGATACGTAAATACGTACTCAAGTCCTTATGGTCATATACTTGCAATGATGTACCTCAAAAAGAAAAAAAAGGAAATATACAAATAATAGTGTAGCACTGTTAATATTCCGTAAGTGAACAAGAAGTAGATAAATGTGCACTCACGTGTGACAGAGCTAGAAACAGAGCTCTACTGTTCATGCGCATAGACGGAATAATCCCCGTTTTAGGATAAATGTAAAGTGGTCCACGTCTTGAAGGTCTCAAATAAAGAACATATAGATAGAAAGGGGAATCCACATAGTGTAGTATGTATTAAAATCACTTAAAATAATAAATAAAATGTAAAGTATCGTACTCACATTTACTAGAGCGTGCCTCGCTCTAGTTTATAGCGTGTAGGTGGTATAATCCCCACCAAGGAATAAAATGGTAATGTTTTATTCCTTGGTGGGGATTATATTTGTGCCACGCCCCCGTTTAGTGATTGGTTTTGAGCAGCTTTAAATTGAAACCGGAGAGCTGCGTCCGGGTGCCTTGCCTCAGATGAAGGCGCTTTAGCAGCGCCGAAACACGTGTTAGGTAGCTTAGGCATCGTAGACAGGCAGTTAGAATCTTCTGATCGCCCTCTCTATTCTGGCCATTTGATCGGATTCGATTTATTTCAATATTATTTAATTTGATTTAATTTTTGGCTGGGATTTTTGTGGGGGGTGGTACTGGGATTTAGGAGTTTATTAAAGAGGGGAGGGGTGGTCCTGCCTTCATATTACCGACCTAGGGGAGCCCCTCTCTCCTTCTCACAACGTTATTCTAAAGTCTCTTTTACACAATTCTGGGCTTCCTTTGGATTTAGATAGCCCATGCTCAAATCTTGAGCAAGAGATACATTTTATGTATACAATAGTAGATCATTAGGGTACTTTGTATACAATAGTTGCCTTGTGAGTGACTCAATATCACAAGCTTGCTTCTCCTATACTTATTTTGTTCCCCTGAGTGGAGATTTTCTATATCCATTAGTTGATATTATATTGTCTTATAAATTTATAGACAATCTATATAATCTCATGGTACCACTAGTGGATATATTGGCATGCCTGTCTGTCTATCGATTTTTTTATGTTTATTTTTTTTTTCATTTTTTTTTATTTCTACATTTTTTAATTCTATGAATAATAAAAGTTATATTTTAATTCAAGTTATATAAATTCATCTGGTGGACAGAGGGACTTCCTACCAATTATTCCAGAGTTATTCTCTCTGGAATCTTCTTTTTCTTTACTCTAGTAAGGGTTACTCCCTATGAGGTTGTCCCTGACACACAAACATACTAGTCTCCCTAATGGGACACTAGTCTTTCCCGTTTTCCGAATGAGCTTGCAGACTCTCTCTCTTGCCAAAGTTTGTCCCTGGCAACGATTCAATTAAAGATTGCTCTTTTCCAACAGAAATAAAGCAATTTTGGCTAGAGACAGGTAGATCTGTTTGCATCCCAAACATCTGCACAAACTCCCAGGTTCGTCTCCTGGACCTGGACAAAGGGAGCTTGGAAAATGGATGCAATGTCTTTCCAATGGACAGATGTTCCAGCCCCTTATGCTTTCCCCACTCCATCTTTACTCATGAAAGTGCTGGAGAAGATCCGCAGGGACAGGGTGCAGAGCTTAGTTCTTGTTTATCCAGTATGGACCTCCAGACCCTGGTATCCCTTGATCCATCAGTTAGTCAAGGGAACCAAGATTGGTGGACTGCTTTCAGGGAACCAGCAATCTTCTGCTCAAGCTCCCGCAACTGATGTGGATCGCAGCCCTTGTAGGCTGTTAACACATCCCCTTTTATCGGATCAGGTCTTGGATATTATTAACTCATCTTTAAGACGTAGAACTAGGGTAAGATATAGAAAGATGATCGAGGAATTCAAAGAATGGGAGATTTCTTTTCTGTCTAACACACAGGGATCTGATACCGTTCCATTGGCTTTAGAATTTATTACCCTTAAGTTCCATTCTGGTTTATCTGTCAGTTCAATCAAGACCTATGGATCTGCTTTAAACTTCCTGATCCCCAACCTTACTCAGGATGCCCTGTATTTGAGATTACTAATAGGGTTATCCATCTGCCGCCCATATACCCCACGCTACACATCTACTTGGGATGTAGATGTCTTATTAAATTTCCTAAATTCTTTGGATAATGCTAAAATTGATTTAAGATGGACTGCTATTAAGTTGGCTTATTTGCTGTCCTTGGCCCTGGCAGCTAGAGGAGCAGAGTTAACTCAAATCCATATTTCAGATCCTTGGTTGTCCAGGACCCCGGGAGGTTTCCATATTATACTAAAAGGCAGACAAAAAAACATCCCATTTTTCTCCTGGTCCGGTAGAATTGGACTTGGTCCAAAATCCTTCCGAACCAGGCTTATGTTTAGTCAGTTTGTAACAATTGTACCTTCCACTTTCTGTTGTATTTAGAAATTATATCAGTCAATTATTCATTACATCAAGGAATCCCTTTCGTCCAGCCAAGGTTAATACAATTAGAGGCTGGATACTTTCCGCCATGTCTTCGGCTGGTATTGATGTTTCCGTGTTCAAAAGCCATTCAATTAGGGCAGCCTCGGTTACTAAAGCAGCAGGAAAGGGCCTTCCTCTCCCTACTATCTTGAAAGCTGCGAGATGGTTGTCCAGTAAAACCTTTGTTAGATGAACGCCTTCAGTTTCTTAGGACCACCACCAGGTGTGTGCTATTCTACCCACTAGCTTTGCTAGGTGCTTATGCCTCCCGGAGGACAAATCAGAGTTTGCAGGAATGATCTACAATCTTTCTTTGTCTTAGGGATGAGCATAACCACCTAGCAATGGCGCCCGTCCCACCCTCCTCTAAGTTAAGGGTTTTGCCTGCTGGTGGTAGTTTGCTTTACTAAAACATAAGGCTATATGGTGCTTATTCAGCCTTTTGATAACTGTTCTCTGTTTTGTTTTTTACAGACTATAGCTATCCCAATTTTAAAAATCTGAGGCAATCAGGATTCCTGCGCTCAGCACGGCTCTCCTGATTACCTGATTGGCTGAAAGGCTGTTGCTGTGCAGATGCACAGCGCAAGCCTTTTCAGCTCTGGCATTTGACTCCGTGAGGCTGCCGCATACCCACTAGCTTTGCTAGGTGGTTATGCTCATCCCTAAGACAAAGAAAGTTTGCAGATCACAGATTCCTGCAAACTCTGATATCCAACAGCTCCCCAGCACCCACACTCTCAGGGTCTTATTCTAAGAGACCCTATAGGCATCCAGACCTTTTCATCTCATTGAAGTGATCTGGGTTCAGTTCTTATGCCCCCTTAACCCTGCATTCTAAAACTTTGAAGTTTTCTGAGAGTGTTCAGACTGCCTCTAGTGGTTATCCCCCAAACAGCCACTAGAGGTTTCATGATCTCTGGAGAGTTTTACTCCGTGAAATATCGGACATCTTCATGCATGAGGACGTCTAACATCTTTTAATTCCCCAAAGGAAAGCACTGAGAAAGCTCTAATGTCCTTGCACTGCGCAAGCACATTAGGTTACTCCATAGTTTTTGTGTTGCAGAAGGAGCAGAACCGCATTTTCCATAAGGCTCCCGAGGCCATAGCCATGGGGCAGCACATAGTTGAAGGGCAGCAATGACCTCCTTTACCCCTGGCTAACAGCAATTACAGGAGAACAAGTGGCTGAATAGGAGAGGGCACAGAAGAGTACAAATGAGCAAAGGAGAGTAAGTGGTGAATCAGGGGAAAACAGGAGAACAATTGTGTGAGGTAGGGGGACTGAAGAGCAGAATAGGTGATTGAAGGGGGAAAGAAGAGGGGAACAAGTAAGGGAATTGCAAAATAAGAGGGTAACAAGAAAGAAGAGGGGTACATGTGATGGATGGGAATAAAAAAGAGAGGTAAGTGTGAGTGATGGGAATAAAGAAGAGGGGTACACGTGAGATGGGAAAAGGAGAGGGTGTAACAGTCACCAGGGGACTTATGGAACAGTTTACCAGGAGTTGGAGCCCAGTTTCAGGAGATGGCACAGGAAGCAGGCAAAATCCAAAACACAGTACAGATTAAGGGAAAATCCAAAGGCAGGGTGAGGCGAGAAGCAGAAGTCAGGACGGGCAGCGAAGTAACAGAGTCGGTAAATCAGGTCAGAGTCCAGGAAATCAGTCAGTAGCAAATCAAAGATCCGGCAGGAAACACCAAACAGGCAAAATTACCAGGTACTAGGTCTCAGGCATGGCTGGCTTTTACAGCCTGTTAATTAGGTGCAGCTGACCCTAATTGGAAGAAGGCTGCAGGTGGATCAGTGCTGCTTAATCCAGGGCAAGGTGGTCAGGAAGCAGAAAAATGCAAACAGAAACTGAAGCGGCAGAGAACCTGACTGGGATGCTAGAAATGTGAGTTTAAACCCAGCCAGGTCTCTCAAAGAGGCGGCCATGCCTTGCTGTCTGCAGGGCTCTGGCTGTGCCGTGACAGAGGGGCACAAGCAAGTGATGGGGAAAGAAGAGGGGAAAAAGTGAGGAAAGGAGTGAACAGGAAAAGAAAGAGAAAGAAAGGGGGAGACAGGCATAGTTGAAGAAATATAAAGACGGGCAGATTGGAATTGGAAACACAGTACATAAACACCCACACATGCACACTAAATATCCAAACATGCACACTAAAACTTCACACAAATATGTTCCTGCATGCACACAGTGCCACTCTAAATTCGTACTCTACACCCATCATTCACATGCAATCACTAACACTTCACACAAATATACTCCTACATATATATGCCATTCAGCCACATACTCCGAACCAGTCATATTCCCATGCTCTCTCAGTCATACCCTCCCACCTATCTTGCATTTATTGCCATCCAACCACCTACCTAGTTATAATTACTGTACAGTCAAACTCCAAACTACTCACATTCATCCACCCAATTACATAAAATCAAATACACCAAGCTTCATATACATGACAGGCTGGGGCACATTGAGGAAACAGGCCTTAGGGCAGCAGAGAAGTTAAATCAGACCCTTTAATATCTCACAGCCAAACAAGAAAAAGGAGACCTTTTCACATAGAATCATTGAAGACAGAAACAACATTTTAACCAACCTAAGACCAACATCCTCTATTCTGGTATATCTACTCATTCCATGAGATATTTTCAAAAATACAAGGGGCCTTGGGATTTTAAAAAATAAAGGCTTGTGTGAAGGAAAAACATAAGTATCACATAAGCAATAGATCCTTAAAACATACAGTCGTGATTCAACTAGTCTTTGATGGCATGCTAGCAAGCACGAGCCATGTCAGACTGCCTTCCCTTCATTACTGCTCATGACACACAGTTTTATATTCATTTTCTGTGGAAATATTTATATATATTTTTTCATTAAAACATTACGGGGGGTGGAGGGGTTAGTCTTGGTGTCCATTGTCTCATTTAGTTCACTAGTATTTGAAATAAGAGACCTTACGCCAAGCCTCTCAGCACCTACTGTCAGGTTTGGATATTTTGGCCCCTAAGTGTGAAAATCACTTTGATGTCACTTTGAAATACTGACAATTCCCACTTTAGTGAATAACCCTCTATGTGTTAAGGGTAAAAATAATGTCCCTAGGGTTTTCTGGAGACACAATAAACCACAAGACCAAAGGTCGGTTCTTCTATGAATGCATCCAAAACATTATTTCTCCCCCCCTGTACATTCTTTAACATTATCTCTTAACATTATATCATTTTTAATCAAGCAAATAAGATTCCTGCACTGGCTTTTTTCCTCACCTTTTACCTGAATAATTTATTGGGAACTAGGATTTTAGAATCTAGAAAGTGTCTTCATGGGAGGATAAAATAGTAGCAAGTTGAAAACATGACATAGAAATATAGCGCACACTTTGTCAGTCTGCTTAGTTAGAGGATTGTGTTCTGAAAGAAATCCGTGATTTGTTTGCTTAATTCTTTTTCAAGCTGGCAGTAGTTGTTCAGAATATGCTTTTATAAGAGATTTATCATGGGATTGCTTTCCTGGCTGGATCACTGCTGGCACTTGTATTGAAGTTAGATTTTCTGACAGATTTTCTGCATTAAGACAGACAAAGTCCTGCTCAGTTACACAATGAAGTCAACTCAGCACGCAGCAATTCTTACAAGAACGTGGGCTTAAAGCGTAACAGTATTGAGTGGTTCAACAAAGCGCACTTTTCCTTTCAAAAATATAGTGGGTTCACGAGAAGGAGAAAACAGAACATGAGGAATGAAGAAAAATGAGAAAAAGAGTAATTCCAAAACTGTTATAGCATCATGTTTTTTAAGAGTTTATATCACAGTGCATTAGGACTGTTACCTAGCAACAGCTAGAGGATAAACATAGAACTCTGTCTAAAATTAAAATAGTGCTAACAGAGGAAGCTGGCCAGAGTCTTGGAAAGAAATCAGGAGATATTTTTCAGTACCAATAATGTGTAAATCATTTGCTATATAATAAACACGAGGAAACAAGTATGAAAACATCATTTCATATTGTGTGGATTCTCGGGGGATATAAACCAGAATTTAAACCAAAACAGATTGGTTGGAAAAGAAGAGGTCTGGCTAAGGGGATAGATTTCGCTGCAGAGAAGTGATTTTTATTTTAGTAAATTTAAAGAGATTTGAATTTGGAGAAAACACAGACTAAATCTGAGGCTAAAATCAAATGTTTGTATTAGTGCTAGAGTGGGCATGGAGCAGGACCAGACCAGGAAAAAAAAATCGGACCAGGCATTTAGATGCAGAGCAGCCCAGTAGGAGGGGGCGGGGACAGAGAGAGGCCGTCAACATTTTAGTTTGCTATCCCTCCAGGGCATCTCATGCTGAAGAGCACTTGCATGGAAACAATGCTTTACACAGCACAAGCAAATTTAATCACACTATTGCAGTGTATTTGCTGTTAACTACGTGTGGGCGTTGAGTTGATTGTTTATGGTGTACTGTGTGTAAAGTAGTCTGTTTGTAGTGTACTGTGTGTGGTTAGTGACTATAGTGTGTCTGTGTTTCCAGTGGCTTTATAGTGTGTGTGTCTAGGGGCTGTAGAGATTGTATCTGTCTAGGGGTTGTGAAGACATAGAGCATGTGTATGCATTTGTCTATGGGTTGTAGTGCATCTAGGGGGTGTACTATGTATAAGGGCTGTTGTGTGCATGTTAATGAATATGGGCTGTAGTTTGTGTGCACAGGTAGTGTGTGTTTTGTACAGAGGCTGTAGTGTGTTTATAGGGCCTGGAGAGAGCTTGTGCGTCAGGAGGATGTAGTGAATGTATTTGTATATGGGATGTAGTGTGTTCCAAGATAGTGTGGGCATCTAGTGGCTGTAGTGTGCCTGTATTTGGGGCTGTAGTGTGCACATACATGTATCTTTTATCTGTATGTAAAGGGGAATTTAGTGTGTATGTATAGGGACTGTTTTGTGTGTGTG